AATTAGCTGTAGTTTTGTAACCCAATTGGATCATTTCTATGTGTATGCATTGATTAAAACTTAGATTCTAACATGGTTGGGGCTGTAAGGTCTGTTGTCATTTGCTTCTTTATTCAAAGTTTTAAAAAGCACTACTTGGTTATGATTTAAAAGTTAATATATTTTTATCATTTTAATATTCTGAATGTTAGCACATGTGCCTATATTAATACTATCATAAAGCAAACTATTGCTTCTTGAGGGCTAGATGCTGGCAATATCATGAGGTAGGCATAGCTTATCTCTGACAATCTTGTAGTTGCGACTCCTTTACTTGTAAGTAAAGAAAAATGATACTTGCTCAAGTCAAATGGGTTTGGAAGGAAAGGCAGAGTAAGCTTGTTTGTAGCTGAGGACTAGAAACAAAGCGAGGTAAGCCACACAGAAGATGGACCTGCAGAGTTAGGAACCAAGGCTGCCCTCAAGCCCACAGGAGGCATAAGCACTCTCTCATTCTGATTTTTCTTATTACACATCTCACATCTGGCCTAGCGACTGCCTTCTCCAACTCCACATTTGACCTATCAGCTCATATGGCCAGTACTGACTATGGTTCTCTTCTGTCCTTCCTCCAAGAAGTCACCAATAGGGAGTCAGTGTCAGTCCCTCCTGTGGGGGGTCATCTTGGGTCATATGTCCACACATAAAGTCAGCTGTGTCCCTGCAGTCAGGCCATACAAGATCATCAGCAGACATCAGCATGTTGTTGTGTCTCTTCATTTACTCTCACTCACCCTCCCCCCTTCTTTCTTAACTGCCATTCATTTTTTATACCTAAGCCCCTCCTCGGAGATCTGAATCCCTTTATTCCAAAGCTTCTTCTCAGAGGAAAAGTGATTTCTCAAAACCTTATTTTGGTGTAAACTGTTTTGCTTGTTATTCACATATATTCATGATTAATTGCAGACCTCACATTTTCTGCCCACCTTGCATACTTTTAAATAACCCAAATTATTTAAGAAATTGACTTCTGATTCCTTCACAGCTTGGATTGGATGACACAAGAAGACAAAAATAGTTTATAACTAATATGCAATATTTTGCCAGTGACAGCATCATCACCATATTGCCTTCTTATTTCTAGAACAGGATTATTGAATGCTGCTCTGAAATAGCAGCTCTATTTTCATCTGACAGAGAGCCCACACCACTATCTGAGGTATGTATCTCTCCTTTAAAACTGTATTTGATTCATTCACAGATGGGAATGGGGATACAGCACATATCCAATTGCAAGTATAGAGGACCTCACTCTCTTAATTCATATGAAAAAATAGTAAAATGTTTATCATATATGTATATATAGTGTGTGTTTATAATAGCATATTACTTTGGTTAAAATATTCTTTGTTAAAAAAAACTCTACCTAGTACAGAAAATTGCAAAGAAGTTCATTTAAAAAATTGTTTCAGGGCTCAATGGTTAAGAGCACTGACTGCTCTTGCAGAGGACCTGGGTTCAAGTCCCAGCACCCATATGGTTAACAACAGTCCTAACTCCAGTCCTAGGGGATCCTTTGCCCTCTTCTGACCTCTGCAGGCATTGTACAACAGGATGCACTTACATATATGCAGGCAATACACCCATACACATAAAAATAACATATTTTTAAAAATTATTTCAAATGTATCATTCAGAGAAAAACCTCTGTTAGGATTTGGATAATCTAGAATTTTCTCTGTATGTATATAAACTTTAGAATTTTTCACACCAACGGGAGCATATTTTACATGTATCATGAAGCTTGCTGTTTTCATTAACCAATATTGTCATGGAGATTTTTGTGTATGAAAAGTCTACTATATTTAATGCTTTACGAAAGTCTCATATATTTGTGTGTCAAGCACTTTTTACATAGATGGATAATTATTGATGGATCTTGAGGTATGTGCTTATATATGTGAGTATATAAAATACCCACAATACCTGTGTCGTGCATGACACGGGTGCACTCACATACATGCAGGCAATACACTTATACGCATAAAATAAAAATAATAAATAATAAAAAAATCCACAAAACAAAATTGATAATTGTAGACATTTGAAGTACTGCTCAGTGATATTAAGTTCAAATGTTGTACAACTACAACCTTCATCTCCAGAACTTTTTCATCATTACAAGCAGAAGCTCTGTACTCATTAAATAATTAACTCCCTACCCATCACTGCCACTCCTGGTGGCTGCTTTCTTCTCTCAGGCTCTGAATTGACCCATTTCTGTAAGTCATATAAAATGGAATGTGTGATGCTTGTCCATTTCCGTCTGGCTTACTTAATTTGGCAAAGCTATTTATGGTATAGTATGTATCCATATTTCATTCCTTATTTTATTTGCATCATATCTTTGTACCATATTTATTTATGCATTCATCTTTCAGTGGGCATTTGGGTTTTTCCCCACCTTTTGAGTACTGTACCACAGGTGTGTATCTATTTGAGTCCTGGTTTCAATTCTGGAGGGTACATGCATACCTAGATGTAGAATTACTATCTCACATTGTAATCTTATGCTTAACTCCTTAAGGACCTCCTAGACTGTTTTCTCAGCAGCTGTGCAACTCTAGACACCTGCCAACAATGCACAAGGGCTCTAATGTCTCTGCATTCTTGTCAGCACTTGTTTCTTTTCTTTTACTTCTCCTCAGCAGCCATCCCATTGGGTGAGAAGTGGTAGTTCACTGTGATTTGGTTTGTTTTTCTTTGATGACTACTGATGCTGAGCATTGTCTTGTATCTGTCAATCATCTGCATATCTTTTCCAGTGAAACATCTCTTCAATTGGTTGCCCATGATTGAATTGATATGTACATTGATAAATGATGGCAAATTACAACAGTCTTCTCTCCGATCAGTCATGGATAGGAGGACCAGTTTGCCAAGTTTCCCATTCACACTAGTCTAGAGGCAATAGTAAAAGAAATAAGCAAGATAATTTTTAAGAACTAAATATTGAAAAATGAATAAATAGAATATGGAATTGCAAACTACAGCTTATGAACAAATCCTTGCTGCTGCCTGTTTGTAGAGGTTTTAGATGATTTATTGAAGAGGTATGCCCGTTTGTTCACTCAATGGCTACAGCTACTTTCCCACTATACCAGCAGGGCTGGGTAGTTTGACCTCTAAAGCCTAAATTATTCCTTTTGTGAATCCTTCTAGAAAATATTTTCTGGCTCCTCTGACAGAGAAATAAGTAATAGGGGGTCACAGCTTAGGTGGGGTTGTTGGGGAAGACATCTGAAGAGGTGGCATTTGAAGAAGAGTGTAAACACCATCCTGTGCCTTTCCATCGGACCATAAGCTTTCAGGGACAGTGATAGTGCAGCCTCCACATCTCAATTTTCACACCATTCAGCCATGGCTTAAAAAATTAAATTGAATTCTTTTTTAATTTTGAACTCCTGAAATACATTTTTTCCCTTAAAAATTCCACTTAACTATGTGTCCCTTATTCATTTTTAATATGGGGAACTTATTTTTTATTATACAAATATACAGATCTATTGAAGCAGACAGAGTAAAACGTAGTTCAAATCTAATTTTGGAGAAATCATGTTGCATTAGGTTCCAGAAGAAAAGAACAAATTGTGTGTGTGTGTGTGTGTGTGTGTGTGTGTGTGTAATTAAGAAAGGATTTTTTTAGGTTGATTTTCAGGATTGTAGGCTGAATGGTCCCACAATGACTTTCTGCATGCTGGAGATCCAGAGAACACAGTAGTTTCTCAATCCAAGATGCTGGAAGCCTCAGAATAAAAGGAGCCAGTGATGCAGCCCACTTGAATCTCACACTGTACCTCCTCTGAGGGAAGAAGAGCCTAACAGTGCTGGGATGGTGCATGGGCATTTAGGAGCTTTTCCCAGGAAGTGAGTTGTTAGGCAAGCAAAGTTACATATGTTAGTGGAGTTACTTTTTGTTAAGAGTATGAAGTTTTGCTGTGCAAGATTTGGTTTTATTTTCTGCATTCTTTCTTATTTTAATTTTTATGAATTTCATATATGAATATTATCTTTGTATCATTTCCATCCTTCCCAGTCCCCCTCCAACTCTTCCAGTATCCTGCACACCTTCTCCATTTCTTTGATCATTATTGGTACATATACATACATTTTAAATATGCATATATATATATAATTCACTGAGGTCGTTTAGTGGTGTTTGTGTGTACCTATGTTTAGGCTGTCCACTTGGATTAAATAACCTCTCAGGGAGCTAGTCTCTGGAGAAAACTGATTCTCCCTCTGTCAGCATCCATTGATTGCCTACAGCTCCTCATTTGGAGGTGGGACCCCATGTCATTTCCCTCATCCACCTTGGTATATCAGCTGGTTTTGTCATTTTATGCAGATCCTGTTAGACTACCCTACTGTGGATATTTCATTGGTGCAGCTCCCCTATCATGTCTAGGATGCATTAAGTAGCAGCAGGTATCTTGTCCCTCTGGCACTTATGATCTTTCAGCCCACTGTTCTGTGATGTTCCTTAAGCCTTAGGTGTAGAGGTTGCATTGTAGATGTGTCACTTAGGGCTTGGCACCTCAGTCACTTGTTTTCTGCATTTGACCAGTTGTGGAATTTTGTAATAGTCTCTATCTGTTAAAAAAAAAAAAAAGCCTCTTTGATGAGTGGTCAGAGGTACACTCATCTGTAAATATAAGGATAAATATTTAGATAGTATGAAATTACATTGGTCTAGGGAAATGACAGAAGTAGGCTCTTCTCTAGGGTCTATGACATTTCCATCCATGTGTAGTTGGCTGTGTTTACAGTACCACACATGAGTTCCCTCCTATTGAATGCACCTCAAGTCCAATTAGACAGCTGTTGATTACCTCCAAGATAAAAGTGCCACTCCTGCACCAATAGAGCTAATTTGCTGGGGCAGCCATTGTGGCTCATAGGTTTTTACAGTTGGGTGGGGTCATGGATTGGTTTTCTCCCTTGGCAGCTTGCATAATATCTTCTGATACTAAGACAGCTAGTCTTTGAGGAGGAGGCTTCCAGGTCAGTTCCAGCTCAATCATTCTAAGTCCTGTATCTGAAATATGTCATGTCTTCAGCTGTAAGATTTGTTTTTTGTCTGAACACACCTATTAAAAATTATCTTTTCTCATATCATTTCTTCCTAATTAAAAGAAATATTGTTGTACAAGGGTTGTGACAGAGAGACTGAGAAGAGCAAGGAGTTGAAGGAATGTCCACTGCAAACCTTTGCAGTGACTAATCATAGACTATTGAGGGCCATTAGGTATGATTTTCTGTCTCATAATAATAAAAAGCATTCCTTTAATTGATGAATAAGTTTGAATTACTAATTTCTAAGCTGTCAGGTAGGTTTCAAACATGATGCTAGAATTACTTCCTTGTCTTTTTATGAGTAGGTATGGGAAGATGCATTCATTTTATTCAACTTCTGTTCATCATTAATGATTGATTGCTGTATGCAGAACATTGGTATAGACACTTTTGTAGCTGCAAGGCAACATAGATGGAAGCTCCTCCAGTTGCCAAATTAATATTTGCATGCCTGTTCACATAATACAAATAAATTAGCCTAAATTGCACATATACATGTGTATATGAGTTGAACAGATT